CGGGACGGGAAATGATCCCCATAATCGGGCTGGATTTTATGAGACGCATAAAAGTTTGTGTTAATTTAAAGTCACCGTCCAAATGTAAGATGGACGGTGACATTCTATTTAATTAATTAATTTATTTAATTTAAATTGTCAAAAATTGAATTAGAATAAACTCCTGATTAAGGGCAATGCAATGAACGACTAGCTAGTCACAAGCTAGTCATTAACGACAGGCATTGCTTATGACAGGCATTGCGTCGTACAAAGCAGCGATTCTCTAAATTTAATCCCCCTGCCCTATTCAAGTCTGTCGTGTTGCCCTTGCTATTACCCTTGCCATTTATTAAAAATATTTTTTTCTTTCAAATTTTAAAAAATTTAATTCATAAAAAAATTTTTTTAACTTTAGAAAAAATGAATTCTATAAATAAATAAAAGAGTATCTTGACTGTCTAAAATAATGTCAGCCGGTATCGGGATTCCGACCTAAAATCTGTATCGGTATTATTGAATGATGATTCGATACCGACATCGGGATCTAATATATAGGCTTCATCTTAAATAAGATTCGTTTAGCTCGTTTGGTGACCAAAATTCCAGTGACCATAATTCCGTACACCCTTCCCATTACAGCCTTTCCTTTTTCATCAAAAATGTTAGAAACGATATATTTTAAATAATTACTAATAAAAAATTAATTTTCTGGTCTTAAACAGGGTTGGGCTCAAGAGGCAATTTTAATGTACATTAGAGCTGGACGTACCGTACTAAGGCCGTATCGGTATTGGGGTCCCGTACCGGTAATACGGTACGAAATACGATAGATGAAATTTTGTAGTTGATCGGTATTTATCAGTATCGGTATTCTGTATCGGTAATACTGTTTATCCGTGTGTGGTATTATTTATTTTTGAATCACCGTCCAAATGTAAGATGGACGCGTGTCCGGAAATTTGGGGAGTGGGCATTTGGGGAGTGGACAATTGGGGAGTGGAAATTTGGGGAGTGAGCGGACATTTGGGGAGTGGACAATTGGGGAGTAGACATTTGGGGAGTATGGATTAAAAAAATAATTTAAAAATAGATTTTTTGGACAATAAAAATAATTTATACACTCATCTCGGTCAGTATCGTTTCTCGGTATCGGTCTCGGCTCAAAATGGTGGTATCGGGTTCTTGAGTATCGGTCAATCTCGGTCTCGGGTTGACCGATACCAGTATCGTTTTTTCCAACTCTACCATAGGCATATGAAAAATTCACGTTTTAGCGCCGCAGGTGAAAGTTTTTAGAATTTTAGAAGGCCAATGGACAAAATTTCTTCCTTTTTCTCAAAATTTTCAATTTTTCGATTTTTTCAGTTCTATAACCTAAAATTGACTGACCATTTTTTAATACGTTGAAGAAGGAAAAAGGAGGGGGAATTGAATTTACTCTTTTAAACTCCACAAAAACACCTTCACTAGTGTATAAATTATTTTTATTGTCCAAAAAATCTATTTTTAAATTATTTTTTTAATCCACACTCCCCAAATGTCTACTCCCCAATTGTCCACTCTCCAAATGTCCGCTCACTCCCCAAATTTCCACTCCCCAATTGTCCACTCCCCAAATGCCCACTCCCCAAATCTCCGGGAGCCGATGGACGGTGATATTATAATTAAATAATTTATTTATTTAATTAAATTTAAATTTTTAAAAATTGATTTAGAATAAACTCCTGATTAAGGGCAATACAATACACGACTAGCAAGTCACAAGCTAATCATTAATATATAGACTTATGACAGGCATTGCGTTGTACAAAGCAGCAATTCACTAAACTTAATCCCCCTGCCCTATTCAAGTCTGTCGTGTTGCCCTAGCTATTACCCCCTTGCCATTTATTAAAAATATTTTTTTCTTTTAATTTTAAAAATATTTAATTCATTAAAAAAAATTTTTTTAAATTAAGAAAAAAATAATTTTTTTTCTAAAATTTTCATTTTAATTTTTGTTGTTGAGCAACAAACAAATGGAAGGTGTACGGAAGGTGTTTTTGTAAGGTGTACGATAATTGGAAAATACGGACGACAATTCCATATCTGGCAAATGCGGATTAAAAATTTTTTAAAAATTTTGAATAGGCCCAGCTGTCAGTTTCAGCCTTATGTCGGCTTCCGAATATTTTTAGACTGATGTGGTACTGAAAACTTTAAAAAATCTTAAATTTTTAATGTTTTTATGACCTCAATCCTAGTCCTCAATCGTAGTCCACAATTGTCTTCCGCAATTGTCGCACCACCAATTGTTGTATCGCCATAAAAATGAAAACTTATTTTTAGAAAGGAAAAGTAAAGGTAAAGAAGCTGCTCCTGTTTATGCTAATATTTTGCCAAAATATGGTTTCTCTCTTCTTGAATTAACTTTTTTGTCTGAGATTTTGCGCGAGATTGAAACTAATACCATCTTTACTAATAATTCTATTGAATTAATTGATATTATGCGTCATCATGGTCAATTAGTCTTTCCTCGAGTAAATTATCTTCAAGTTGATTTTGGTCAAGTAATTCCAGATTTCTTTCGAAAATTAAATGCGGTGAGCAATGAAATTTTTAATATTTTTAAATTTAAACAATAAAATCGGTATTACTGAATGATGATACCAAAACCGACATCGGGATCGGGAGTGGCCAAAAGGTTTGGGTTAATCCTTCATGAACTATAGCATTTATTTTCCAAATCTGTTGATTTCCTCTAATCCACCAAATTTCCTGTTATATTAATCTTTCATAGAGTTGTACCCCGAACGCTCGGGGGCGGGTATGTCGGGGTACGGGGTTTTCGAATTGTTTCGGGGCGGGGTTCGGGTCGGGGTACGGGGATTCTCTGGAAAATTTTTTTAAAGAAAATATGGTCAAAAATGTTGTGTATGGGCGTCAGCCCTTAAAGTGTTTAGTATAAAAGCCCAGCCAATAGTTAGTTCGCTCTCTCAGTTTTTAGTTCTTCTTCCTACCGCAACCTTCGCCTGCTTTGTATTTCTTTGTGCAATAAACGTTTCTGTTAGCTTCTCTACGTAAGCGGGGTCGTAACAGATTTGGCGCGGTCGCAAACCATTCTCGTCTACTTCGAAAAGAAAGTTCGGCAACAGCTACAAAAAGAAAAGTCCGGCAACAGCTACAAAGAAAAGTTCGGCAACAGCAAAAGAAAAATGGCCCTGACAAGTAAAGTAAAAACATGGTGGGAAAACCATGAGTGTAATGTAAAGAACAGTGTCGATATTCTCCATGTGAGTATGAGTGTGAAACCTAAATGGTTAACAAAAAAAGTGTTAGTGAACGGAAACGAAGTGGAATTCATTTTGGATTCAGGGGCTCAAATCAGTTGTATAAGTGAAGTGACATGGAAGAATATTGGTAGCCCAAAGCTCACTGGAGTGCCCTGCAAGGGTAGAAGTTTCACAGGAAACGAGTTTAGTATGTTGGGCAGTTTTTTGGCGAGTGTCGAAGTAGACGATAGTAAACAAGTATTGGTGACACATGTCACAAGTGAAAAATTGAATTTGTTTGGCCTACCATGGATAATTGAAGTTGAGAATAAATTGGGATATCCAATAGTGTCTAGTATTAAAAAGAGTGAAGAGCCGATTAAAGTGTTAGAAATTGAAAAGGCACAAAGTAAAATTAGTGAAATAGTAAACAAATTGTCAGTGCAGTTTAAGAAAGTGTTTGAGCCAGGCTTAGGCCATTGTACAAAAATGAAGGCTCATTTGTATATGAAGCCAGGAGTGAGTCCAGTATTTGTACGGGCTAGACCAGTACCGATTGGCGTTAAAGACGCAATTGAAAAAGAGTTAAACAGATTGAGTGAAATTGGAGCTATTAAGCCAATTGAATTTGCTAATTGGGCAGCGCCTATTTTAGCAATTAAAAAGGCAAACGGCAAAACAAGAGTGTGTATGGATTATTCAACGGGGTTGAATAATGCAATTGAATTGGATAGGCACCCTTTGCCAAAGCCTAGTGAAATATGGGCTGAGATCCATGGAAGTAAAGTGTTTTCGCAATTGGATCTCAGAGATGCCTATTTACAAATTGAGTTAGACGAGCAATCTAAAAAAGTGGCGTGTATTAATACACACAAAGGATTGTTTGAAGTGCAAAGATTGCCGTTTGGAGTGAAATCAGCACCAGGAATATTTCAGAGATTGATGGATAAATTGATAAGTGGAATTCCTGGAGTGTTTGCCTATTTAGATGATTTAATAATAGTGTCTAAAAATATTGAAGATCATAAAGTGCAATTGTTTGAAATATTTGATCGAATTGAAAAGTGGGGATTAAAAATCCAGTTAGAAAAGTGTAATTTCTTTAAAGAAAAATTGAAGTTTTTAGGCCATATTGTATCTAAAAGTGGAATTGAGCCAGACCCAGAAAAGAAAAAGAAAATTAGTGAATTGACGCGTCCAAGAGACGTTAAAGAATTGAAGTCTTTTATGGGTACAATTAATTATTATGGGCGGTTTGTTAGTGAAATGCATAAATATAGAGGGCCATTAGATAAATTGCTTAAAAAAGAAGTGAAGTGGGAGTGGGGGCATGATCAAGAACATGCCTTTCAAAGTGTTAAAAAAGTGCTAAATTCTGATTTAATGCTAACGCATTTCGATCCAGATTTAGAAATAGTAGTGACAGCTGATGCATCGAATTATGGAGTGGGTGCAGTGATATCACATAAATTTCCTGATGGAAAAGAAAAAGTGATTGAATACGCGAGTAAGTCATTGAATGATGCAGAGAAAAATTATAGTCAAATTGAAAAAGAAGGCCTAGCATTAGTGTTTGCAGTGCAGAAGTTTCATAAAATGCTATTCGGCCGAAAGTTCGTATTGAGAACGGATCATAAACCGTTATTGGCCATCTTTGGCAAGAATAAAGGAATCAAAGTGTTCTCTGCATCAAGATTACAAAGATGGGCTTTATTATTGACAAATTACGATTTTAAAATCGAATTTGTAAGTACAAACCAGATGGGTATGGCTGATACATTGTCAAGATTGATAAGTGAAAAAAGTGAAGTAGAAGATAAAGTGATTGCATTAGTGGCAAAAAGTGAAAATTGTAGTGATGAAGATTGTGGTGAGGAGAACTCATTGTTAGTGGAAGAGTCAGTTAAATATGTATTAAACATAATGCTGGATGAAGTGCCAGTGAATGCCGAACAAGTGAAAAGTGAGACAGAAAATGATAGTGAATTAAGAACGATTAAACAATTTATTAAAAATGGGTGGCCAAAAGTAGTAAGTGATCCAGCATTAAGTATTTGGTCAAATCGAAGACAAGAATTGGAAGTGATTGATGAGTGTATTATGTGTAGTGGAAAAATAGTGATCCCAAAAGCTTTGAGGAAAAGTGTATTGAAAGTGTTACATGAAACACATCCGGGTAGTGCAAAAATGAAAGGAGTTGCCCGGGAGTATATGTATTGGCCAAATATTAGTAGAGATATTGAAGATTAGGTCGCAAATTGTATAATGTGCCAAGCAGCGGCAAAAAGACCAATTAAAAGTGAGTTGCGACCATGGCCAAATACAAATAGAAATTGGGAAAGAGTGCATATTGATTTTGCTGGGCCGTGTAAAGACGGAAAAGTGTATTTTATTGTAATTGATGCCCATTCAAAGTGGCCTGAAGTGTTCGAAAACATGACGACCTCAGCAAAAGATGTTATAAAGTGTTTTGAGTGGTTGGGAACCCATTACGGGTACCCAGAAACAATAGTGTCTGATAACGGAAGCCCATTCCGTTCAAATGAGTTTAAAGTATATTGTCAAAATAAGGGAATTAGTCAAGTGTTTAGTGCCCCGTATCATCCACAATCCAATGGGCAAGTGGAACGATTTGTGGATTATTTTAAAAGAATGATGACAAAAAATTGTAATAAGAAGAATTGGCTCAGTGAAGTGTTATTGTTTTATAGAGCCAGTCCTCATGAATCATTGGAAGGGAAATCCCCTAGTGAAGTGTTTCTTGGAAGAAAATTGCGATTGAATTTAGCGAGGTTAATACCAAAAAAAGTGACCTTCCAAGAAAATAAAGTGATAACACCTCAACAAGTGAAAATGAAAAGTTGGTTTGATAAACACCATGGAGTAAAAAACCGAAAAATCGGTAAGTTAGTGTATTTCTTAAATTACCGAAAAGATGGTAAAATTAATTGGTTGAATGGTGAAGTGGAAAGTAAAAGGGGGGTTATCTATAAGATATACTCGCCAGTGTTAAATGCCGTAGTAACTCGGCACGAAAATCAAATTAGAAATAGAAGCTTAAGTGAAGATTGTAATAATTTGTGGAAAAGTGAAAGTGTAAGTGATAGTGGATTGAGAAAAGTTGATAAACCACATAAATATGGTTTGAGAGAAAATATTAGACAGCCTCAAAAATTAGTGCTGACTAAGGAAAGTGTAAAAAAGTATGCTGAAGAGGCTATAAATTATCCAGTGAAATTAGTGAGACAAGTGGGAACAAATCAAAGATGAAAGATGTCGAAGATGATAAGAATATGGAGATGTAGATGAGCCACATATATAAAATTTTGTGATAATATTATTGTTGTATTTTTTATGTTTTTGTAATGTTGTATGTATTTTTGTTCCCATTGTCCTTATCCCCCAAAATTATTGTATGTATTTTTTTGTTTGTTGTTTGGCTGGAAAGTGTTAGTATATTGTAAAGCTTCGGCTTTAAGTGAAGCCGAACCTTTTTTTCAAGGGGGGAGGTGTTGTGTATGGGCGTCAGCCCTTAAAGTGTTTAGTATAAAAGCCCAGCCAATAGTTAGTTCGCTCTCTCAGTTTTTAGTTCTTCTTCCTACCCCAACCTTCGCCTGCTTTGTATTTCTTTGTGCAATAAACGTTTCTGTTAGCTTCTCTACGTAAGCGGGGTCGTAACAAAAAATAAGCCGTTTTCGGTGTATTTTCGTTAATTTATTCAGAAATTAAGGGGGAGATGGAGGAATTAGAGATGATATAAGAGGTTTTTAGGGATTAAATGGGATTTGAAGGCATTAAGGTGTATATCTGCGGATATAAGAGGATTTGGAGGGATTAAGGGGGCTTGGAGCGATTAACTGTATCAGTAATTTATTGAGATATTGAGAGAGGCATATGAAGGAATTGAGAGGGATATAAGTGGATATGGACGTATCAGGGGATCCTTGATATCCCTCTTAATCTTCATCACTCCGTCTATATCCTTTTTCACTGCCGCAGGCGAAAATTTTGGGAATTTTGGAAAGCCGAAAGATAGATTTCTTACATTTTCAAAGCCGCAGGCAAAAATTAAAATTTTTAGGTCATAAAACCGGATTTTTTTGTTTTTTAGCGCTGCACACGAAAATTTTTGAAATTTTAACACTAAACAAAAAATCTTTGCGTTGTTTCATATGGTTAATAATATTTAAAAATAAGATTAACATTTTAAAATTAAAATTAAACTCTTGTTTTTGTAAAGAAAAATACACAACTAAACGTTCTGCTTATCTGGATCCGAACCCAATCCCATATTAATGGAGATATAGGCTAAAACCAACAACTAAGCCACTCAACCACAGTCTCTTAACGTAGGGGGAAAGAGAATTTTAATATTTTATTCACTTTTCTTTCAAAAATATTAAAGGCAAAGTAAATTGAGAGAAATTTTTTGAATTTCCTTCATTATTTTCTCCCAAAAATGGCATTTTTTGGGTATATAAAACCCCGAAACCCCCGAAAATTTTTCGGCCGGGGAACGGGGTTTTCACTTTTTTCGGGGCGGGGTTCGGGTCGGGGAGAATCGTGAAAAAATCGTTCGGGAACGGGGTCGGGGTACGGGGTACAACTCTAATCTTTCAACACTTGCGCTCCCTGGTCACAGGCTTGTTGTTGATATATTTTTATTCTTATATTTTTGGCCAGGACGGCCCATTGAGTTTTTTAATTTTCAAAATAAAGAAAGGCTGATATTTTATTTTTAATTTTTTAAAAAGATTTTGCGTTATTATAACAATATATTACACGCAAAACAACATAATAGTGCTGTAATCCTAAAAACTACAAAAAACATGTTTATCATTTGGCATCTGTTTGGCATAGCTCGAAATCTCATCCGCTCATTTCTTCTGGATTACAGTCAAAATAAAGCCATGTACTATGGAGAATTGTATAAAAATCATTATGAAAATTAATATAAAAATTTCATTTTAAAGTTCACAACGTGGAAAGTTGATTTCCGTTATTAGCTTTATTAGGGCTTATGATGATCTTGAATTGAAGGCAAAAAATTGGATGGGACTTTTGCGTGAAGAACATTCTCTACATGGAGAAAATGTTGAATTTAAACATGATGGATTTTATTACAGTAATTAAATTCTAAATGTTTAATATAATAAATTTAAAAATAATAGTAAAGGGGGACAAGAAATTAATGCCATAACTTTATTCATCTTCGAGATAATGAGCTCAAAAAAAGCTTATATGATAGAGAATTGAACATGGAACAAATATTATCAAGGATTTTAGAGGTGTCAACCCTTAGCTTGAATCCAAGGATCGAAAATTTTTGATTATTTTTGTTCAATGTTTAGTTCTCTGTCATATAAGCTTTATTTTAGCTCATAATCTTGAAGATGATTAAAGCTATAGAATAAATAGCGTGCTCCATTACTTTCTTGTCACCCTGTATACTAAATTAATTAAGCACGTCCGCATATGCTCATGTCTTTGCAAGAGGCGGAACAACAAGGAGGAAATATAATAATTCTATATCCTGTAGAATACATTCATGATATCAACGTTGACATCTTTCTGTCTACAAACTTTTTAATTGATTTAGAACATTCCCACAATCCCAAATTGAAAAAGAATGAATGTATCAGCATCAATATTGTTTTAGGAGAGCCACGTCAAAATATGGATGGAACAATTCAGGAAAATATTGGATTTTATAATTTATACGCTAATCAAGATGTAGAGGCTTTTAAAGAGAAAATTGATATTTTGATTGGAGAACATTTGATTGAATTATTTTTTGGAAATATGGAATATCTCCCTGAAAATTCTATAGATTTGCCAAATCGTTTCAACTTTGTCACAAAAGTAATTTAAATATATCATTTTTATTTTGGCATATTATGTAGTTAGTATCAATTAGGGTTTGGGCCCGATTCAGCCCCGGGAATTGAATTTTGGCCCGAAAAAGACTCGGCAGACAGGCCCGATATACATGAGGCCCGAAAAAATGAGTCGAACGTCGGCCTGACTCGAAAGTTCCAACACAGGTATCAATGCTGGGCATCGGAATTTGTTGGACCGGTGATTTTCTGCCGGTCCGTGTTGGATCCGGGTGAAAAATCAATGTATGTATAATATTATTTTGGGTATTTGAGTAAATTAGAAGGGATGTCTGAAGAACCGGTGGATATCAAAGGGTTAATAAGGATATCGGTGGATTGTCGTGGGATTTGGATGGATTAAGAGGATTTAGGTCGACACCTAAATAATCTCTGCAATTTTTGAACGAGATATAACATCCTTAAAAAATTAGGATTAAAATTTTCAAAAGTATCGTGCGAAAGATTTAAGTGTAGAACAAAATTTCACAGAATTTGCTAATAAACAATAAAATAAAAAATACACATCTTAGTTGTGGATATTTTTTAAATTATTTAATAATAATAAATAGAGATGTGCGAGACCGAAATTTTTCCAAGACTCAAGACCCAAGACAAAAATTTTTCCAAGATCAAGACTCAAGACCAAGACCAAAACTCCAAGACTCAAGACCAAAAATAATACAAAACTCGAGACAATTTTTAGTTGCCATAGGTCAAATTTTTGGTTTATTTTTTGTTATTTTGACACGATCACAGTCAACTTCAGCACAATCACCTATAATTTCGAAAAATCTATGCGAAATTCAAAGAATTTATCCGAAATTCAAAGAATTTTGGTGAATTTATCCGGGTGGAAAATCAATGAGATATATTATTTAAGAGGATTTGGGTGGATTATTTAGTTAAGGGGGATATTAGCAGGCGAAAATTTCGAAAATGTTGGAAGGCTAAGAAGCCAGAATTCTTCCTTTTCTAGCGCCGCAGGCGAAAATTTTGGGAATTATTAAGGCCAAGAAGCCAAAAATCTTCCTTTTCCTGCAGCCGCAGGCGAAAATTTTATGAATTTTAGAAGGCGGTAGGCCAAAAAAATTCACTTTTTCAGCGCCGCAGGCGAAAATTTTGAGGATTTTGGAAGGCCAATCAGTAGATCCAAAGAGGCCAAAAAATCAAGACCAAAAAATAAAACCAAGACAAGACCAAGACAAACACCCCAAGACCATAATAATAAACTATAACTTTTAGATTCGAAATGAATGTTTGAATGTTGTCTTTCAACATATGACATCTCGTAGCAAGGGTAAAGTTGGTGGTTTTGACCTTAACCGTCCTTTTGCTGAAGAAAAGAAATAGAGAAGCATTAAATTTGAACGTAAAAGAGCTGAAAATTCAATTTTTGCATATTTTTTAGTTTAGATGATTGGCTTCAAAGAAGCTAATTTTTTGTTTATATTTAAATTAAAGTTCAACACCTATCCCCGGGGCAGGGAATGTCCGAGGAACGGGTGGAGGTCTCCCTCCAGACCGCCCGTTCCCCGCCCCATCGGTTCGAATTCCCGATACTGAAACACCCAAATTATCGCCTGCGGTGCCAAAAAAGATGAAAAATCGTTTCTTGATGCTCTAAGAGGGAAAACTTTATTTCAAAGCCATAGGTGGATTTTGGGTGCAAAAATTTTAATATGCAATTGATAGCCAAAATCAGCTCGATCCATTGATTCTGAACACAATTATCAACAACTAAACTTTCGCTTGAATAACTGTTTTGGTGTTGCTAAAGGCTGTAGGTCGGAACTAAAGGCTGAGAATCTGTAAAAGGAACTAACACAAGTGCCTCGCCGAAGCGCATAGATTTATGTTGACAATATTTAGCCCTTTATCTCGGCTGAATGTTGAGACAGAGGGCTGATTATATTGTCGATACTATCCAAAACAGATTTAAAAATCTTGCAAAAATTTATCAAAAAAATAGAAATTGATATTTTAAATAAATATTGATGCTTTGCAGATTTAAAATATCATTGTTTCTATTTCAAATTTAAATTTTCTGAACAAGTCCATTCATTTAAAAAATGTCCAGTATATTATTGGTATTTAAAGTGTTCAATGAGGCCGATTTAGCGGTCTTGGTAGGAAACACTAAATGTATTTTTAGCTTTATTTTCTGATATTTATCATTAAATTGTTTTTTTTTTATTAAACAAATGTCGATAAATTGAAGAAAATTGTCTTTTTAATTTTATTAATCTATTGAAGAAATTCAATTGAGTCCGCGTATATGGGGGTAAAATCTTATGGAAATAAAATTTAAAGCCAAATGTGCAAACTAAAAATATGTATTGGAAGCATGATCCCGAGAATTAAATTTTAAAAAGTTTTAAGGAAATTATTTACAAATAAAAAAATTTATTTTTCAGTAATATAAATTATTTTTCAGTATATAAAAGAACCTATAATATATATTTGTTAATTAGAGAGTAGTTTTAAACGGATTTGTTGGATATAAATGATTGATATCGGTTTTGCTTTTAGTTTTGCTTTGAATTAAACTAGAAACCAAGAAACAATGAAAATTTTAATAGTTTTGAAAAAATATTTAAGAAATATTATTTAAATTTCAATATCCCAAGGAAACTCAGTTTCACGCAGGATTTGGAAGGTTTAATTAAATTAACAAGTTAATTTAATTAATTCAAAAGTATTATACAATTGATTCCACAAATATCAAACTTTACTTTTTAAAGATATCACTAGAAGCGAAAATTATGACATTTAAATAACTTATCGTTAATCCTCTATGTACCTATTCGCCATAAATGTTGATAGAGCCGATAACGAGCTGCCAAAATTTGAAAATTTTTTACCCAGAAATTGTAAATGTTTAAAAAATGAGAAAATGTCTAAATGTGGTGAATCTTGCCAACACCACAGGATTACTCCACTAATAACATGATTAATCTTTTTAAAAAAGGGCATGAAAAATAGCTAGGAAGAGAATAATAATCCAGAATCTATTGAGCTTTTTATTTATTTTTTTACCTAGCAGCATTTAAAACGCTTAGGCAGGGGTTAAACGACTTAAAAAAGGAAAAGAGAAAGCAGTAGTTGATGCACGGTAGCTCAGTGGGAGAGCTCATGTATATGCTGAGCGAAAGAGCCTAGCGACAACTAGCAGGTGGTCTCTCTTTCTCAAGACTCTTTTTCTCAAAAACTTTATCGCAAAACCTGCAACATCCGTTTCTAGTGAGAGAACATTTTCGTTTGCTCTTACATATATATGCTAATTCTTTGCGTAATATGTTGGTTTATAAATTATTCAATTTTTTGTCAATTCAGGCTTGGTGGGAGACTTGCAGAAATGATAATTCTTATAAAGGGGCATTTAAACACATTTAAATTAGGACCAATGATGGAAATTGATCCTGAGGAAATTGAAGAAAGTGAGGAAGGTGTTCAATCATAATTTGTATCAAAAAGGGATGAGCAAAATTAATGTTTTTTATTGATTTTTTTGAATTATGAATTATTTTTAAAAATTTTAAAAATTAAAAGATAAACGGACGTTTAATCGAGTCTTCAAAAATAAACGAAACTGTATACGGTTTTCAGATAAACGGATACGGTTCTTTCAAAATTAAACGGTGTTGTGCTACCCTAATTTAAATGAACAAAAATTGAATAACTCCAAAAAAACAAATTATGTGTGGAACGGGAAGCCAGATATATTCGTTAATCACCGCCGCAAGTGTAAATTTGAGAATTATTTTAGGCTCAAAGCAAACTAAATAATCATTAAATGATTCACTTCTTTTATGAAAGTTTCAAGTTTTGAATCAAATTTAAAAATCAATTTGCTTTTTTAAATTGAAAATTATAGAAAAATTTTAAAAATTTTTTGCTAAAAAATGTCTTAAATTCTCGCCGACCAATATTTCATGGATGATCGATAGTTCTATTTAAAGGAATTAAGCCAACACGGTTATTTTCACCAGTCTTTTCAATTTTTATCATTTCATAGTTTCTTGGTGATGAGACCAAATTGTTGGTTAACACTTAAATATAATACTTTTCCAAAAAAATTTCTACATTTCACGGAAAATCGCCAGATATTTTACAGAATAGATTATGAAATAGTTTGTAAACTGATGTTCTAGCTTTAAATCTGTAAGATTTGTAAATAATCTAAAAGTTAAACTTGGTGAGGATAAAACGGAAACGGCACACAAGTCGAATTCTTTAAGTAAAAGACGTTTTATTTAATTTCTTATGGAACAGAAGGATGTTATGTGTTGAGGAAATAGTCGCAACGGAATATTAAATAAAATAATATTAAATATAAAAATTTTATAATACATATAATTTATAAAATATAAAAATTCTAAAATTTAAGAAGTTAAATTAAAATTAATTTAAGAAGTAGAAAAAAAGAGAAAAAAATCAATTGGGAAAAATGGCAGACAAAAAAGATTTTTCTCTGCCTTATAGTCTCATTTTATTAAAAATAATATAAAAATACATAATACATATTTTTCAAAACGTTAAAGAAAAATAGGAGCAGGAAAAAAAGAAAGCAAGGATGGTAGGGGAGGCAGAGGGGTTATGAGGGGATGAAAGAGGGAGCATGCCCTTCGGGTATTAATAATTAATTGACAAATTAATTAATTAGGCAATTAGACACTAACACCCACTATTTGGTCAATTAGTCCATTCCGATACCTAAAACGTTTAATTATATGCTAAATAATTAACCAACCCCCAATTTCGACGTGTCGGTTAATTTCAAAGCGAATTCTTTAATGGGTACTAATTGTCCAATTAGCCCCTTTACCTCCGACTTCGATGATAAAGGGTATTGAGCAATAGGTGCTAATTGACAAGTAGTCACCAGCAGATATCAAAGGAAATCTCCCACCAAACCCACTACACACACAATTTGTCGGCAAGATCAAAGAAAATTAGGCGGAAACCCTCCTACACCCCTTGGTTTGAGCGGACTCTCCCCCGACCCCGACTTCTCCTGGCACTGAATACTATCACACAAAACGCTATAACGCAAATATCGGCCAAAATTGGACGCCAAAACTTCAAAACTCAACGCAAAAACGCTATGTCGCACATCTCTGGTGTGGGGGATCGAGGTTTGCCGGAAAGCTTTTCAGGTGTTGCGATTTCATAAAGATTTATAACTTAATTCCTGAGAAGAAAGATCAAAAAAGGCGGAAATGGTGGAAATATAAAAAATATATAAAAACTTACAGAAATTTATGTCATTATGAAAGCTTTTAAAGGTCATTTAGTCTGAAAATTTATTCAAGGATACAAACAAGGATAAGAAATGGGCAAGAGTACGAAACGAACAAGGATACGAAATGGGGATACAAAAATCTAAAAAAAATAAATAAATTAGAGGGCAGAAAGGGTTGAAGTGAATGAAAGAGAGGAGAGAAAGATAAAAAGCGCTGCACTTACATTAACGCCCTGCCAAGACTTAATTCATGTGATTTAAATTGGATGAGCGTCCGTCGATGAAGGTACATTTCACGGAAAATCGCTGAATATTTTACAGAATAGATTATGAAATTGTTTGTAAACTGTTGTTCTAGCTTTAAATCTGTAAGATTTGTAAAGAATCTAAAAATGAAACTCGCTGAGCATAAAACAGAAAAGCACACAAGGAGGATAGTCGCAACGGAATATTAAAAGCTTTATTTGATCAAGTTTATGTTCGAAAAATCAGGTCCATTGACTTACTTGTTTTGGGACTAGCATTAGATCTGCTTATATTCAGTGCTGGTTATGGCTCCGGAGCCAAGCTCACGCAGAGCCAGAACCAGAGGTAAGATTCTGGAAATCCCGGAGCCTGAGGCGATTTTCAGTTTCTGTCTCTCCGAGTTGTTTACATGGAGAAGTGATGGGCTCTTTCGTCCTCTTTTCGTATCCTTGTTTAGGTACGAAACTGAAATCGACTGACTCTCATCCACATAAAATCACATGAATTAGCTTGGCAAGACATTAATTAATGAAAGTGCAACGCATCCTCTTCTCTCTCTCCCCTTTTGTTTCTCTTCAACCCTTTCTGTCTCTCCGAGTTGTTTACATGGAGAAGTGATGGGTTTCGTCATCTTTTCGTATCCTTGTTTAGGTACGAAACTGAAAAATTTTCAGTGAAATTTTATCGCCAGTAACTTAAGAAAATATTTGCTGGAGATATTGGGAGATTTGGAGTGATCTCGATATCCCTCCCCCACTCACCCCAATAATTTGCGGTGGGGATCTCGATAAAAGACGGGATAAAAAAAGATAATCATCTCTATTTTGATAGTAAAAGTTTTAACTTTAATCTATATTGATAACCGAGCTTCATTTGTTTTAAAATCCTAGGTTTAAAAAAATCCATGATATTCTCCTAAATTCCCAGATAATTATTCGAAATACTTAAACCATAAAAATCAACCGAAATAAAATTAATCAATTCCCATAAATCGCTGCAAATTACCCTTAATTCTTATTAATTCTCAAATCTCTCAATATCCCCCCCTCTCCTCCCCCAAATTATTTCAAATCCACTTAATCACTCCAAATCCCCTAATATCTTCAGCCAATATTTTATTAAGTTACAGGCGGTAAAATTTAACTGAAAATTTTTTTAATTTATTTTTTTTAATAAAAAATTTATCCTAAACAAGGATACGAAAAAGGGGACGAAAGAGCTAAGCAAAATAAAATTTGCCCATCACTTCTCCATGTAAACAGATCGGAGAGACAGAGAGGGTTAAGGAGAAACAAAAGGGGAGAGAGAGAAGAGGATGCGTTGCACTTTCATTAATTAATGGCTATCATGGGGCTTCGACGGAGCCAGAACCAGAGCTAAGATTCGAAATCCACGAGGTTGAGCCTTAGCGAAGGTTTGAAAATGTTCGAACCAGAACCAACAAATGCCCGATACCAAGCACTGCTTATAACTGTAATGGCTCCATATAATGCCAAATAGCGGAACAAATTTAATTTTAAAGATTCTCCAGAATATTTGTGATTTATAATGTTAACTGAAGTTTCTTCCTTCATCAAGTAAATTTTTCAGAATAATGTTAAGTAAACATTAAAAAATTCGAATAATAAAATATTTGGTGAAATGTCCTCTTAACTCAATTTTACGCAATGGAGGGGAGGGAGAGAGAAAGAGACTTATTCACTGCCACTTATTCAGCTTTTTAAAATTTCCCTTTAAAAGCAGGCCAAAATGGTTGACAGAATCACTCGTTAAATTTTAATAAAAATTGGGAAATTAAGTGAAGGCCCCAATAAATATTATACAGCTACATTAATGACATCCAAAACTCAGCTTTATTAAATAATTTATTCAATAATTTTAGCTTTACATAAATAAAAATATGTATAATTAACTTAAAAAGCTAATAATAATCAAATACATTTATGTATAAATTCCTGAAGTATTTTTTAAAAAAGACACCTTAGTGAAGGAACTAACTTCTGACTCTTCCGAATCCCCCGATATCCCGCATTTTTATCAAATATTTGAATCATTTTTTTTTAAATTTAAATTAGAGTAGCACGAGGTCGAGGTTTTAGGAAAAACCCGAGGCCGAGGATCACCGAGGCTAGAAAAGCCGGTATCGAGGTCGAGGGGCAAATTTAGACCCGAGACCGAGGTCGAGGACCAAGGATAGCCGAGGTTTTTAAATTTGTTATAACTTTCAAAAATCTACTTAAATTTAAAAAATTTTATCAAATATTCGATAAAATTTATATTTTCCATCTGATCCAAATCAAGTAGGTGGTCCATTAAGACCAGACAACTCAAGGCTCTAGTCAAATAATTTTAAAGATTGATAGAATATTTTGAAATTGATCCGGATTGGAGTGGTATATCATATCTGAGGATCTAGTGGTATATCATTGGACAAGAATAAACTAAATAAGATATATTGCAGGATTATACACGGGACCTCGGCGAGACCTCGGCCTCGACCTGTTGCTACTCTAATTTAATTATGTATTTAATTTAAATTGTCTTTTAAATGGCACCTGACGGAACATATCTCTGACAAAAGATTTAAGGGAATTTCTACTAGGGCTTTATTCGCTTCGCTTCGGTCCTTCGGCCCTCCCCCCTACATTTGGATGGGCATTTTTTTTTAATTGTCAGCTATTCAATTCATTTTTAGAAATTAATATTTAATTTCTCTCCAAAGAAAAGAATTAACTAAAACAAAATTTAAAAATCTTCAATTTGAACAATGAGGATTTTTATTCTCCTTTTCTTTTTATTTTATTTGATATTTCTTCTCCAATGTAAATTTGTTGAAGGAATGAGAGGACAAAGAGACCGTTTGTTTTAATTTTATATATGTGCAGTATATACTGTAGATAAATAGGATTTAGGACAAAATTTTTACCTGCGTTTATAGTTTTCTGACAGAGTGTATTTCAATTCTTGTCTAGTATTACAAACGAGTTTTCATGCTGTAGAAAAATTCATTGAATGGGAGATGGAATAGAACCATAACGGAAAGGGCCCAAACCGAAAGCACAACCGACTGTGCCACCATCCAATCAAATGTTGGGTTATTTATTTTATTTATATTCTTTCTGTAAGTGCGGACACAACTTCCAGTTTTCAATCCAATTGGGAACTTAAACCCCGAATTTTGGTGTTGCAAAGTTGGGATATAGTTGGCTTCCAAGTTACTCAAAATTGCCGATCTAAAATGAAAAGCACAATCGACTAACATTTTAGATAGAAAAGGAAAGGCTGTAATGGGAAGTTCTTCAAGAAGTCAGCAAATAGCAAACGTGGTTACTCAACCGATCGAATTTGCGCTCCCAGAGCTTACATTTCTGATTGAAATGTTGAAAAAAATTAAATACGACGATTTAACTTCTGAAAAAAGTATTATCGAAATTCTTAGCCAATATACAACTTTTAACAAATATAATGAAGTAACTGAATATGATGAAGAATATCATGAAGAAATTACAGTTACTTATAATATGGAAAATCAACCCATGACAAAAGAAAAAATAGAAAAGGTGAATGGAACCCAAAACTTTTCTTAATTATTCCTCGGGGAATTTTTAAACCCCATCTTTAATGTAGGCTATTTTTGGAAATTTGTTATATCCGGAGTCTTGTGAAATCTGGAGTCTCTTTGGCTACACCTTTAATAATTTAAGTTTTTACGTTGGAAATGATCTATCGTTTAAAAATTTTAATTCAAAGGTGATTGAGTTTTACACAAAAAAGATTCATGATGAATATAGTATGAATGATCACCATTATTACTTCAATTCATCACTTAATGTGTATCTTCTAGCCTTTGCCCGAAAGCTCATCCGTTCATTTTTTGATTTTCATGCCGAAAACAAGTACTATGACAATCATGTTGCAACGTATATTTTATTTAAATCCCATAAAGGATAATTGAATTTTGGATTAATTACCTAACTTTAGTCAAAAATAATAACTTTTTTAGTTTCATAAACAAGAAAAATAAAGTTTCAATTAGACAATATTTGGAAGCTTATGACCTTTTTGAGGCTTTGGCAGTTAATTTGATGATTCAAATCAAGCGAAGATTTGGTAATTAATTTTTAACATGATTTAATTAAAATATCTCAGGAAATAATATATTTCCAAATTGGTTGGAAGGAATCGAAAATGACGACACAAATACTTTTCCTTCAATAATTACCGACTTGGAAATTTGGGATCCAGAGAATCAAACTATGATAAATTTTATTTATCAATATGAAGGTAATTTGTTATATTTGTCCAGCTATTTGACGTTTAAGTCGAAAATAGATTTAAAACCTACACAAAATTATTATTTTTAAGCTACAAATGAAGAAGTAAATCGTCAAGATTGCCAAGAGTTGTATAGTAAATGCAAGGATCCGAATATGTTCAACAAATTTGAGCCATTCTATTTATACTTTAAACGCCTTGACGGCAAACTTCAACTAAAACTTGAAAAATACTTGATAAATCCGTTTTTGACAGAGAAAGACTATGAAGAATATAGAACCCAAATGTTAAATAAATACATGACAATAAAAGGAGATGAATATGTTCATTACAATCATTATCTGCCACAACAACGCCTTCATATTACAATACATGTACAGTTTTTATTTTATAAATTATAACTAGGATGGGACAAAACCGCTTAATTTTGAAAAAACCGTATGCCGTTTATCTGAGACCCGTATACCGTTTCGTTAATTTTTAAGGACCCCGTTTAAACGTCCGTTTAGCGTTTATTTTTAAAATTTTTTAAAAACAATTCATAATCCAAAAAAAAAGTTTTGAATATTTTGGAGGTTAGGAAGCCAGATTTCTTCCATATTTTGCGCCGCAGGATTCCTTAAATTTTGAGAATTTAAGGAAACCCAGTAGTCAAAATTCTCCGTTTTCAGGGCCGTAGTAGAAAATTTTGTTATTTTAGAAGGCAAACAAGCTAGATTTCTTCCTATTCTTTGCACCGCATGCGAAAATTTTTTCATTTTATTGAGTCAAAAAGCAAAATTTCACGTTGTAAGCCACTAATTCTAGGAAAAAATTAAACGAATTAAACGCCGTTTAGAAGGACCGTATACCATTTATCTGAGACCCGTATACCGTCCGTTTAATTGAAGCAAAAAGGCTTTGTCTCTAAGCCATATTTTGCCATAACTCTTTCAATTCTTGATTTTAATAATTAATGTAAAAATCTAAAGCTCTCGATGTAAGGATTGCTTATCTAGCAGGATTGCATTAATTAGTCACCTCAGAAATGTTAAGCCTAATAAAGATCAAAAATGACGTTGTGGGCAATTATCAAAAAGTTACTATATCGCGGCTGGGAGCGAACTAGCATCTATAGTGTGTTAGCCTTTACACCACGCTTCCTAATGCACAGTCTTAGGATATAAATAGCTACCGTATTTTCTCTAATACTGCATGGAACTCTATTGTGGGGGAACTCTATTGTTATCAAATATCCTTATATCTATTAATCATCCCAATTCCACTGATATAAATTTTGGTCAACAAATCATCTATATCACCCTTAATCCTGCAAAATTCCTCTACCTCTATCCCTTAATATCACTGTGATCCTAAAATCTCTTTTAAATTACTATATTTTCAAAATCGGAGCAGTCCGGATCCTCAGTTGCGCAAACCGAAGTTGCGTGCAGCCTTGCTTCAACCTTTTTTTATTAATGATAAAATATTAATAAAATATTTATGCTCATATATTGTCATTTGGTAACAAACATATTTCAACCGATATTGCATCTTTTGCAACCTATTTGAGTGTTGATTTCTGGGTTTTAAATGTAAAAAACAAAATAAATTATGAGTTTTTCAAATATTATTAATTAATAAACAATTTAAGATGATTAAATATTGTGGAGCTAGAGGTTTTATTAAAAAACCAAAAGATGACAAAGGAAGCGCAAGTGGTCATGGCGGTGGACATTCTCATGGCACAGAACATGGAGGTGATTATGTTGGATACCACGGAAATTACTGAGGAAATGATTGACTAGAGATGCACAGCAGACTAGCGCAGGCAAAAGAGGGGACATAGCGGAATTTAAATTTTGGTTAAGTGGCTAAGAGCGGTGACTACAAAATCGTTTAAAAATAGGTCGCGGGTTCGAACCTTTTCATGGTTAATTAATATTTTCCTATTAGATAAGTTAAATAAAACATAAAAGAAACATTTTAAATAATATTTTAAGTGTGTAAAATTTTTTTTAAACTTTTAAAAATAAAAACGGGAAAAATTTAAAAAAAAGCCGGCTGTTATTTTTTAATGTAATTTTTGCAAATTTGGATTGATTTGGACAAATGAGGTGTCATTCGAAAGAGCTCTAAAAAATGAGTCGAACTTGATGTGAACGAAGGATCCGACATTCCGGGACCGAGTTACAGTCTCCCGAAAGTTGAAAACCACAGGAGGGCCCCTAGCCGATTTTGGTGACAAAAATTCAAATATAAAAATTATAGCTCATCCGAAAGAGCTCGTCGAGCTGAGTCGAATGACACTAATCATGGGGTGCGGAAATGCCTGTGGACCGAGATACAGGTCCCTAAAATTCCGATTTTCGGGGTCGAAAATTCGACTATACAAATTATAGCTCATTCGAAAGAGCTCCTCGAGCTGAGTCGAATGAGACCAAAATCTCCGTGATTAGTTTCCGACTTCACCTCAATATAGCACAAAAGCGGTTATTCCGGCGAAAATACAAATTGCCTGTAACTTTTTTCAGAATCTTAGAATCGAGCTGATTTTAGTGGCATTCGAATCAGCTCGTCGAGACGAATTGAATAGTATATGTTACGACCAAAACTTTCAAGATTTTTAACGATAAAAGGCATTTTTTTAAACTTGATTTATTCGGTCATGCAAAACCTTTTTTAAAATATGCAAAAAATTAATCAATTTGGTTTTAAAACAAAGATAAGACTCTCATTCATTATTTAAAATAAGCAAAATTTAAAAAAAATAAGATTCTCGAAAGATAAAGATTCTCGAAGTTGACATGTTCAAGCAAACAAATTTTATCTCAAATATTTAACGAAATAACACGCGAAAAAAATAGAGCGACAAAGAAAAAGAGATAAATTTAGCTCTTTTTTAATTAGTTGGCGTTCTGCCCCAATAAATGACATTTGTTTCGCTATGACCCTTGCTAGTCTGCTGTGGAGATGTCATCCGAAATTTCCAAGAATTATTTTTTTAAATCATTTGCCAGATTTTTGCATTTTAATTGGTTAACCTAGTTCTAGTTAATCATATTGAGAGCACATTTCTCGGAAGGATATCCTATTTGTGAAGAAATCTCTAGAAATTCTATAAAGATTATCGTTTATCAACCTATGTAGGTAGGCGAATTTAGGGTGTGACGAATTCCGTTTAAAGACAGTTAGAGGTAAATCATAATTTAAGAGTCAAAGTTGTATATTCACGAAAAAAAACAAGTTTAAAAATCTGGCAAAAATTTAAATGAGAAAATAGGAAATGATATTTTAAATGGGTGAGGGGTAAAACAAGGAATGACAAAACATGGATCAGACAAAACAAGGTTTACCAAATCACGGAACAACCAAAACACGGGCCAGAGATATAATTAATTCTTGTTTACAAATCTGAATATTTTTAAAAATTAAACTGAAAATTTTATCTTTGGACCATGTTTAGGTCGTTCATTGTATCGGCATGAAAGCGTTCTGACTGGTATGGTCTGTATTTTAGTCGCTCTGTTGTTTGTCTTTTCCATGATTTGTCTGATCCGTGTTTTAGCCTGACAAGTTTTAAATAAATATTTATGCTTTGCAATTTTAAAATATCATTGTTTCTATTTCAAATTTAAATTTTCTGAACAAGTCCATTCATTTAAAAAATCTCCAGTATATTACTGGTATTTAAAGTGTTCAATGAGGCCGATTTAGCGGTCTTGGTAGGAAACACTAAATGTAGTTTTTAGCTTTATTTTCTGTTATTTATCATTAAATTGTTTGTTTTTTTTATTAAACAAATGTCGATAAATTGAAGAAAATTGTGTTTTTAATTTTATTAATCTATCAGAAAAATTCAATTGAGTCCTCGTATATGGAGGTAAAATCTTATGGAAATCAAAATCTAATGCTAAACGTGCAAACTAAAAATATTTATTGGAAGTATGCTCCCGAGAATTAAATTTTAAAAAGTTTCAAGGAAATTATTTACGACTAAAAAAATTTAATTTTTATTTTAAGTCGGTCGATAACAAAAGGGCATAATTGATAAGGGAAGCTCTTTCGTGTAAAATTTAGGGAGTTAAATTGTCCCTATTCAAAAATAAACCGTATCATACCGAAAAGGGTGGCTTAATGCAAAATATTAGAAATTGTTTAATTAAAACAATAAGTATATTTTTATATATTAAATAGATTTTATGTATTTTATTTGTCCAGAAAATTAAAATAATTATTGAATTTAAATAAATTTTTGTGTTTTTTTCTCCTGTTATCTCTCCTGATATCCCAGATTTCTATCCAAATATAACTTAATCCCTGTTAATTCTATCCTTTCAAATCTGCCGATATCACCCTCAACCACAATGGGCCCTCGATATACACCCAAATCTCTTAACATTCCTCTTAATTTGTAAACAGATTTCTTCTCGCCACAGGCAAAAATGGTGAGAATTTTTTGAGTCCAAGAAGAATAATTTCTTACTTTACATGGAAAAATTTTCAAGAAAAATGACAGGTTTCGGATCTGTCCGATCTCTGTCCATCTCTAGGTGTGAATATGTTATCTTGAAGCACTTATTATATCTTTATATTAAAAGCAATTACACATATTTATTAAATTTCTAATCAAAAATAAATAACATAAATTTCAGTTATCATTAGAAATTATATTTTCTTTAGTTTTATTCATCAATTCTACTGTACCAATTATATGCTCAGTTGTTTCAACATTCACAAATGATTGTTTAACGGGTTAATACGTGCAGTCGAAACTGCAAGTGACTTTACAAGTAGGCAAGTTACAAGAAACGCATGCGGTTTTAATACAAGAAAATCGGCGTTGAAGACGTTTGCCCCTACCTCCTTGTGCATTTACATTACCCTCCTAGAAAATTATCAAATAAACCTTTTTTATCTCGTTTTTCTTTTATGCAAGGATGAAATAATTCTCAATACCTTAGAGAATGTTCTTGTAAAATTTTCACAATTCCAAACTAAACTTATAATTTTTAAAATGTTCATAGTATAAGATCCCAAAATGATTTCTAAATATAGTTGGACATTTTAGTCAATTATCTAGATGCTGTATTCCTCCTAATCAAATAAACAAACTAAAAATAAATGTTGCATTCACGTGCATTCACAGGCACATATATTTTGACCTCTCTATATTAAAAGGAATCCCGACCGTTATCAGAGTCTATCACAATTCCCGACCCTTATCTTAATATTTGTTATTCACTTGTTTACGCCAATCTCGACTTATTAATGTCCCCTATAAATACTCATCCAAAATGGTCATTCATATCTAATTAGAAGTGTTTTTATCAGGTCTGGCCAGACTCTTGTAATTGTCCCCTTTTCCCTCCCTAATGTATATATTTTAATTTGTAAATAGTTAGATGTAAATAAAGTTATTTAAAAAGTAGAATTTGTATAATCCTCGAAAGGCTTCGGAACCCAATCCCAACATTTGGTGCCACTTGTCCCGGGCAAGCCTTGTCGAGAGAAATGCGAATGAAATTAAAGCATAAAAAAAAACGGAATTCCAGAAAAGTCGTAAACTAAATAATTAAATGTGCTGAAAGTTGAATAAAGTGATTAACAAATCCTCAGAAAATTGAGAGCTCGAGCTTAAACTCCTTGAATGATCTAAAATAAGAATTTTGCAAAAAGAGGTTAAATGAAGATTATTTAGAAATGAGTAAGATAATTCATGAGCCTATTCTGCAGGCTTTAAAAAAATATATACGTACTTAAAACTTTGTAAATTAAAAGAAAAAATTTTTGTAAATTAAAGGTAAACTTATCAAATTAGAATCGAAAGTTAAAAGTCGAAGAAAATAAAATTAAAATATTGAGTTAGAAGAATGTCATGAAATTTTTGTTTGGTTAAAAAGTGTTCTAAAGTTTAAATTTTAAAAAGTGGAAAAGGTATGCTAACCGTTATTTTTAAATCAAAATCAGAGAAACAAAGTAGCGCCGCGGTATTGAGAAATGCTCTTTGCTACCTCTTGATTATCTCTTAGCACATGTGAATAAAAGTTGTAGTACTGAAGGCAGGTGAAGCTAGGTGCACACTCTGTCGGCTAGGTGCCAGGTACTTGTTATAATAATGAAAATCTGTACAGTAATAATAATAAATCAAGGCGGGTGCAGCTAGGTGCACACTCCGTCGGCTAGGTGCCTTGAGAAGGATATTAAGCGGGTAAAGCTGGGTGCATACGCCGCAGGCTTAAAAGCCAGATACTCCTTGAGATTTAAATATCTCGAAATTTTTTTTCAGTGAATATTATGTATTTGAAGATTTAAAACAACGGCAAGGTGTAAAATTGAAGATAAATATTTTTGATAATTTCTGAATAAAATGGAAAATTTGTAGAAAGAGATTGAACGAAATGAAAAATGTAGAAAATACCATAGCTTAGGCTTCAAAATTTGTATCCAACGAAATTAATGTGCAAAATTTCGTTGAGAAAGGAAAAAATTATTATATAATCAAGAAAAGTAAACATGTAATGTATGAATAAGATATTAAAATATGAATTAAATTAAAAACTTGTTAGAAAGAAAAGTAAATAATAGTTCAGAAAGAACAATTTAATTCATTAGGTTAAAAAAAAGCAGAAGCTAGATTAAATAAATTGAGATAAAACGCTAAAATAAAAAACAACCTAAATTTGTCGAACATGTAAAGATTAACAACATAAGAAATCTGGTCAGACCCACTTAAAATTTTAAGCGAGCATCAAATTTTAACCTAACGAGAATTGAAAAACAATTAGTATAACTTATGGAATAGTAAAACTTTCCGCTCTAATGAATTGACATTGCTAGGGTAAATTTGTGTTGAAAAAAAAAATTTATTAGATAAAAATAAAGGTTTAAATTCTTAAATGGAGGAAAAACAACAAACATTTAGAAAAAGATTGTGGAAAATGACATAAATTTCAGAAAATTATGTTCAATTAAATATTTTTAGTTCAGAGGAAGAAAATGGATATCCAGAGAATTTAAATGTTAAATTAATTTACAAATCGGTGGAGTTTACTTAAAATTAAATTTGAAGCTATCACTGATACTTTAACTCCTCTAAAATTAGTACAACATAATTATTTTAATTTGGCTGGAAGTGTGAATATAAATCAACCAGATTTACAAGTATATACTGCTGGAAAACTTAATTTGTCATAAAAAATAAAAGGATTAAATAATCAAGATACCCTCCACTTGGAGGAATTTGTTTAGAAGATAAACAATTTCCAGATGCTGTTAATCATCCAAAAGTTTTTCCATCCATAATCATTTCACCAACAAATCTTATACTCGATTGAAAAAAAATGCGGAAACTTAAGCAGATAGATAAACTTAAAATAAAGGTAAATACCCCTATAATGAGAAATGGCAATAAAATTTTTTGTGATGTGAGAGAAAATGATATACTGATTAGAATCCAATTACAATACCATTAATACCGAGAATTCGCATAAAACTCCGGTCATGAAAAAAAAAATTATTTTTCTCAATTAATAACTTAAGCAAGCGTAAAATTTGAGCCCTCAGACAAAAAACACCAATCTGCGAATATTAGTTATATTAAACAGAACTAAATAAAATTTAGAAGAAAGCCAAAAAATAAAAATAATTTAACAAAATCCAATACTTTCTAGTTTTCTCAAGTGAAAATAAATTTGGAATAGACTTTGGAGTTCATTTTTAAACAAAATTGAAAGTCTTTAAAATTAAAAAAGGAGGTTTCGGAAAAAACTGCATTAAAAAAGCCTCTCCAATCTCCAAATTTTTGAGTAGAACTGAAAAAAATCACTAGACATGCTTTGATCACTATTCAACAGGAATTGGATTAATTATAAGGAAGCAGAATCTAGAGAATTTATGTGAATCTGTAGACAATGAAAAGAACAACAATTTCATTATAGGGGCAAACACAGACAAAATATATTTGGACTTTTAATTAAATAATTCTCTTGATTTTTCTATCACGAAATCAAATGATTTAACCGAGATGTTAAAACATAGCCCTGGACATAACAAATATTGAATTCCGGTTACTAGTTGCCTTTATCAATTAAAAAAATATTAGGCAACATTGAATAAAAATTAAAAAAATACAGAGATCGGAATAATTTAAAACAAAAACCCTCAGGTTCTCAATTGGAATTATAGAAGTAACTTTAAAAATAATTATTTCGTTATTCAATAAAAATTACTTTGATGTAAAACCAAATCGCCCCACCTGCGAGCTAAAAAAAAAATTCAACAAGCCTCGTTAATCAAATTTTAAAAGAGAATGGATATTACTCAGCAAATTAAATATTATTTAAAGTTATAACAGGTTCAGCCTAAAAGCTCACAAGGAGGCTAAATAATTCCGAGTATTTTTACTTCGAAAATTTATATGGAATTTTGCAGAGACACACAGTTCCCCGTATATCTTATGACAGGAGCTTCAAATATTGCTTAATCAGAATCTCTATACAGAGTTGAGTAGTAACGCATGACCAGTGCAAAAATAGAGACAACAAATATTCTAGTGAAAAAATCCTAGATACATAAAGTAATCATTCAAATTGAAACTCTGAAAGACAGTAACAGTCTTAAATCAAAAAATAATAAAGAAATTTGAATTACTTGCGAGAAAACAAAAAATTAAAAATTCGTGCAGATCTATAAGAGGCCCAATTAAAAAAAAACGGAAAAAAGAAATTTTAAGTTAGCGGCGGACACATTTAAAAATATATTCTGGCTTTTCAATAAAAATAAAACTTAATCGAGAGTTACACATCCAAAAACCCCGTTTTATCATCCAACTGGTATCGTGAATTCAGTAAAAATATTATGTACAAAAAAGTCATTGAATAAAAGGGATAAAAGATACAATGAGATATTTCTAACGGGTCATCATATGTCACAATAAATAAAAATCTAGTAAATAATAATCATCAGAAGACACCGGCAAGGATAAATAACCATAAGCATCATCAACTGTACTATCAACTATGCTCACGCCGAGAAAAACACTAATTTTTTTACATAGTGAACTAGTTTGGGTCAGGTGAGTTTTTAGATAGCCGTCGATCATCAACTTGAGCCGGACACAAAGCTGCACGAAGAGTAAAATAAAAAGAAAAATCTCTAATAAATAGCAAAAGCCCATTCCAAAAAAAAACAAGGACTTGACTAGAAAATTTTTTTTAATAATGAAGAGGGAAGTACAAAACCCTAAAACAGGGAACTAAAAAACCGAGAAACAAAAGCCGAGAAAAACTAGTAGAGAAAAATCCCCCGCTTAAAATTGGGAGAATCGACAGAATCATCAGAAATATACAACTTCCAGCAACGATAACAACACAATCTCCTCCAGTAAAATCAACTCAAAAAAACAACGGAGTGTCAGCTGAAGATTTGACATCTACATATCAACAAAAAATCTGTTCTGCAACTTGAAAACAAAATTGGCCCCACTAAAATTGCTGCTCTTTTAAAAAGCTTTGATTGAATTAAAAAAAGATTCGTTTAATACTTATATTTATGCTAATTATCCCAACTTTCCCTCACCTTGTTTTGTAAGGTATATCCGTTGATTGCCTAAGCAAAGGTGATCTTTTGGGCGAGCATTATGCATTAATGGATTTTCCCAACCATTACACTTTAATTATTATTTATCTTCATTTCCTGTGTCACCTCCCATTCACATGCTTATGTTTATATATTGTTTATTGTTTCACCGATAAATCAGTTCCCAGTTAGTCAGTCTTTGTGTATATATGTGCCCCTAGGAAAGCACACCGGTGTGGCTTGGTAAAGGTGATAACTAGGGTCTGGCCAACCCAACAGTTATCCTTAGGGAATATAATGGTTATGTGCCTAGGTTTAGTTTTAGAATGGACCCAGCATACTTCCACTCAACTGGTAGCACCGGATGCCGAAGTGAATCTTTGGCGATCCTCAGGCTCTCGGGCAGAAAATGGAATGGAAGAATTTGAACAACAGTAAATGGAATGACAACACGTGGAAATGGATTAATGGAATATGCTCTTGGGCAGAAAATGGATGAGGCACATGGAATGTTCAATTTGGCAAAAATGGAAACATGAATATGGCACTGCAAGTTTAAAAAAAAATGGGGAAACTGGAACTCGCGCGCGCGCAAAAGTAAAATGCTTAGGCAAAAATTAAAGAAAAGACCATGCATGGCAGAAGGGCTAAAAAATATTTTAGGGCAAAAATTTATAAAGAGAATAAAGAAATAAATACAGCATAAGACCCCGGGGCAGCAGAAATAGAGGGCAGATTAAAATAAAATAATAAGAGTAATTTTAAGATGTAAGACCATGGCGTTCAATTAAGGCTTAGGCCATTATAATAAAGAAAAAGCGCTTTAAAAGAAAAGCCCTATAGAAATAATAATGAAATTTGGAAGGCCGCATAGTTCATGATGTAAGACCCGGGCGTTCAATAAAGGCTTAGGCCATCTAATGAGTATAAGTAAGCCCCTTTAAAAGAAAATTAAAAAAAAATAGAAGATATATTTAAATTGAAAAAGACCCTATTAAAAAAAAGTTATAAAAGTATTATATAGAAATTTCAGGACAATTAAGCTTCCGAAATAATTTAATATAGAATTTTTTTTCCCATTAGAATAATTTGTATATTAAAAAAATCAGATAATAATATAATAGTTCGAAACTCCTTAGGGAATCAAAAGGTTTTTGCTAATAACTTTTATGGGATATTTAAATTAAATAAAAAGTGATTTAAAAAAAATTAAATTAAGTATTCCAAGGGCTTTAATCGGGAAAAAAAGGAATTGGCAGTAGAAAATTGCGGAATTGGCAGAAAAGGTAAAATAAAGCGCATAGAAAAAAAAAGCAAAAAAAAAGTCAATGAAAAGCGAAAAATGATCAATATGAGTTAGATTATTAAAATCTTTAGGGATAACCAGGAAACATACTTATCTATTTTTTTTTATATTATAATTTCATTTATGATTTAATTTTTAATTTATTCACTATATTTATTGGTTAAGCATATCATTATTTTTACCATTTCTAAATTAATTTGAATTTTTTTTCTTTATTTTCCAAAAACAAGCTTTTATTATTTCTCTTTTCTCAGAAGTCCCCATTGATATTAACGGGAAAATTTAGAAAATTTTTTTTTGCCTAGGCATTTATATTTTTGAATTTTTATCCTATTTTGGATGTTTTTTAAAAACAGGGAAAACTCAAGGAAATATCGTAGGAAACATTAAGAACAAAGTTCATTTTTATTTATACATAAAGTTATATTATTCTAGCAAATCTAAATTCTTATTAAAACATATTTTCATGTATGTACATTCACCTTTACAAAAAGCAGTGTTTTTAAAGTGAATCACCCTACAAATAATCTTTTTTTTCTTTGGTATTTACTAATGTTTTAAAAAATATAAAGAAATTTCATGCTATAAGACCTGGGGATTCAGTTAAGGTTTAGGCCATTTTATGGGTATTTATTAAGAAAAGCCCTTAAAATTGAAAAACTAAACTAGAAAGGTCTAATACATTTAAGTTCTAGAAGTACATACTGAAATTATGAGGTGAATTAAGTTACAGAAAAAATAATATAATAGAGTATTCTAACTGAATCTTGTAGATACTAAAAAACCATGGAATAAATCCAAATAAAAATAGTACAAGTTACAAAAAAATATAAAACAGAGTTATTTTCATAAAAAGAAGAATTAGACAAAAAAAATAATGAATATTAAATGTGTAATTATGTGATATATGTCTTATTGAGGGGATCAGAGTAAGGGAAGAATATAGCGCCTTAAAAGTAGGTAAAGAGAAGCAGAAAGATTGTTCCATAGCAAGAAAGCGCAGTTTAGAATAATAAAAGGCAAAATCTCTAGGGATAAAAATGGACTATAATCTTTAATTTTTTTCTATATTCAAAAAAATTTTCTATTTGCTATTAAAATAACTTTTAATCTATTTATTATATTTACTGCTTAGGCATTTTTTTTTAAATATAAGTATTTTTATCTTTTGTAAATTTATTCCCAGGTTAATCCAAGTTTTTTTTTTCCCTCAAATTTGTACTTTTATACAAGTAAATAAGCAATAATTTTAATAACACTTCCAATTCGACAATATTTCTTTATATTTTTTTTTATGAATCTTTTCTTTTTCTTCCAAGATGCACTAGTTATACTATTAACGGTAAAAGAAGAAAATTTGAAAATTTAGATTGTGCTTAGATAGGCACTGAGTTTTTTTTAGAGCATAATTGAGCATTTTTTTCTCTTACATATCTATCCTTTTATATTCAATAGGTAGTTGCTATTTCCCGACACTAATTTTAAAGCTTTTATTTTAAAAAAAAAAGGAAAAGCATTAATACTGATTCATCCTTTATACATTTTTCATAAGGTACTCAATATTGTTTTATTAAAAAAAACTATTATAAAATTGCATTTTATTATATCTTTTTGGAAAATATACATATATCCTTTACCGATGAAAAATTTTATGAATTTCATGATTAAATTGCCTAGGCATTTTTCTGGTTTGATAAATTCCATTAGTTTCAATTTTTAGTAAAAAAAAAAATTATTTTCTGCCTAGGAACCAAAAAAAAATTTTTTTTTCCCCTGCAAATTAAAGATTTTTTTTCTTGTCTTCAGTTTTTTTTTTCTTTTTGTAAATTTTGTGCGAAAAAGCGAGATTTTTATTGATTAGTGTGCACAATCTAATTGATCCCTGCTTAGTTTTATTTATTTTAGCTATAAAGGAATTCTACTTCGGTAATAATCTGCAAAATATGTTCAGGCAAACACCTTACTTTGGGTCCTTTTGACTAATTTCTGGGTTTATTTCCCTATAATTTTCGAAACTTCAGACATCATTTAAGAATATTGTCGTGTGTATTATTGTCAATGACTTCTTCATAATAACATTTTAGGAATAATTTTATTTTAAATTGTATTTTTCATTGCCTAGGCAGCTAAAGGATTTAGAATTATTTTTCCTTCAATCTATATTAATTCATTTCAATATTTAAAAAAAAAGATAATTAAACAGACTGAAAAAGGGGAAGTCAAATGGGATAACAAATTTTTGGATGAATAAAAAAAAATAAATAAGCAAAAAACAGCATAGGGGAAGCAAAAATTTCCTGGGGAAGCAAAAAATAACAAAAAAATGAATTAGTAGTTACTCAATTTATTAAGGGTTATAGATTTTTATCTTATTCATAGTTTTTTCTCTATTTATTTAAAATTGTGGTGTTCAAGCGAGATTTTTACACTTTTATGAGCAGCCTAATTCGTTTTTGTGCAAAAGTTTTTATCAAAAGTTTTTATTTAGCTCTACCAGTCAAGCGATACGTCGGTAATAATTTGGAAATTGATGTCTTTGGAAGTCTTTAGAAGCTCTTAAATAATTTTAATTGTTTTATTTTCACAAATTTTTCTCCCAAACTTCAGTGGTTTTGTATGTTAAAAATAGCTAGGGAAAAATATTTGCTTATGAATATGGCTACCAATTATTGGACGAAAAAAAATCAAAAAATATGCGCATTAAATATGTATTTCCATAAAATTGTCAGTCCTACTTATGAAATGAAGATAACTTTTGAAATGGAATTACAGAATTTGGGATTAAAATGGAAACTTTTCTAACTATAGGGGAATTAAACCCTAAATTTAAATTCATCTCCTAATCTTCCATGTCCTTGTGTAATTTCTTTTCTGATTTTGTCGCATATAGATTTGATGGACTTATTATCGAGATCGTGTGTGTGATAAGTTAGAAAACTAATTACATAATTGTTTAGGCAGATTAATAGATTGTAATACAAAATATTCTCTTTCATACGACTAAACAACTCAATTAGATTTTACTTTAATTATAGATGAAATTATGCAAGACAAATAAAATAGGGAAATGAGTTTAGAATTTTATTTTGATATTAGGATCTTTTTAATAATTATATCTAATAGTTATGTGTGAATTGATAATTACTATTTGCATTTTCTTTATAATCTACTGACATCTTTAAAGAACTAGGGTATTTAGTATGATTTAAGATATAAAGTCAGCAGTCATACAAATCTTAAAATTAATTTTTCTGCGTTTTTTTTTCTCCTTCCTTCACAAATTAGCAAAATAATCATGGGATGTTTCTAATAATATTTTCTTACTTGCGACTAGATCTTTAATAACATTCATACTACAATTAAAAAAAAGAGCCAGCTAAGCTAAGCATGAAGAATAAATGGATATTTAACAAAAGAAAAGATGTAAGTAAGCTTATCCTTTGGTATATACTTAGAATTTTTTTTTAGTTTTTAAGAATTCGAACGTAACAGTTTTATATTTGTTTCACAAAATTAAGTTAATTGTTAATTAGTATATTTTTTCATTGATTTTTATGAACTGTCCTCGGACAAAATTAAGGATTTTAAGCATTTTATTTTTCCGTTTCCTTAATTTATTATACATTAATTTTTTTCTGTGTTTCTGCCTAGACAATATTAGAGAAATTTTTTTTTTGAACTAATCATATTGATATGTTTTTAAAACAAATAAAGGGCTTAAAGATATTCTTCTACGCATAAAAATAATATTTAGGATCCAATTGAAATAAATACGTCATTAAAAAAATAAATATTCTACAACAGAGGAAAAGGTTTCGAAATTAAACAGATCCCTTATCTATTCAACTATATGAGGGTATTCTTACTTAAGCTTGTTTTACCTATGTTTGTTTAAGTTTGTCTTCTTAGGCAAATTTATGTATTTTATTTAATGATGGTTGTTTATTATTAATCATAATTTTTTTCGTTTCATCTGAGATCATAGATGAATAAACAATTTATTATTTATATCATATAATCAGTTTAATAGGTAAATATTATATAGTAATTTTAAATGTTTTTGGGAGCATTAGGTTTTAAATTATCTTTGATTATAAAGTATTTTTTTCTATCAAAAGACTTATTTTTATTCAAAGTTAGGTAATTTACTCTCATACTATGCTCGCAGTAAGTAATTTTGCATAATTTTACTGGATAACTTAAGTTTTATTTTCTTAAATAAAACATCCGGATGTCGAGAAATAAAGTGCGCTTAGGCAGTTTCTGGATATAAAAATAAATCTATCGTAAATTTATTTTTTTTCTCTCTTAACTCACCTATAATTCATTTATTCTTATTTTATGACCTAGATATACATATCTCCAGTTTTTTTGGAAAGTAATTTTAATAAATGATTAAAGAAATTTTGTGTTGAAGAAATTATTCATTA